TTTCTCGCAGTCTGGATAATCTGGCGGCATTTGCCACGGGGGTCAGAGTTAGAGTCGATTGGGTGAGCGGAGACAACTGTAGGAGGGGAGGAGGTAGCTTGAGGTAGAGGTGATCTTGGGGAGGAGGTCCCTTGAGGCTCGGGAGTGGTTGTGCTCAAAGCATCGACCCTTACTGAAAGAGCCTCTATCTTTTCCAGTAACTTGACCATGACATCGTTGGAGGAATCAGTCGGGGGCTCGGCAAGGGATTGGGACGAGGTTACCGATGGCCTTAAGGGAGACGGCGTAGTTACAGATCTTCTTCTGGAAGTCTTCGGCATGACCGGATAGATTCTCGGATGATTGTTGCAATGCAGATGCTCTCTTGAAGGACTAGGAGAACGCAAGATTCAGATGAGCTGCTGACGATAGGGTATATACAGCTCAAATAACTGTTGTACAGCTATAAAGTCTGTTAAGGTGTCAGCTATAGATTATACAAAGAAGAGCAAGAGAGCAAGATATCAAGTCAACTATGAATGCTTATCAACAACCCCTCCTCTGTCACCCTTTTGTGCACGCGTGCAGAGCGGTGTACGCGTCACACTTGAATATACATCGTATCGACGCACAATGACGGGTTATGAATCATGTGATTCATAATGCAAGACTATAGGGATGGACATCCATGATGGAGGGGGAGATGGTCTGAGACCCCAAATGACTAGGCTTTTGATAACATGTTCGGAGTCGAGCAAGATTAGCTCGATGAGAATGACATCATCCATAACGATTGCCGGAGTGTCAAAATGAAGCGATCTTACGCCTGCATCGGCTTCAGTTGATAATTTTTCTGCCAGTTCTAGCTTTCCATCAGTTCTGGCAAATGCCCGATACTATTGAAGAGCTTGACGACTCTAATATGACTCAGAAGAACATTCAGAGGCTCGAGGATGACCGCGACGCTTTGTTGAAGAAGCGTTTCTGGTGGGAGGCTTTGAAGTGCTGCTCCTTCACATTTTTACTCACTTTCAAGCCTTCCGAGCCCCACATCTCAACTTACCTCCGCGAAGTTAAGCATTTCACTGACGTTGACATCTACACACAGATCTACCCTTGGTGGACCTATTCCACTCTGGTATTGGTATTCGTCTCAGCTTTTTTGGCTGAATTCGTTGGCTACAAGCTCTCACTGATTCTTGGCGCGTGTGGAAGGGTGGCGACCAGGTTTTTATTACTGTTTGGGACGGAACTCTGGCACATGCAGATGATGCAGGTATTTTACGCTTTGGGAACAACGGCAGAGAATCGTGGTTCTATGCTTACATATTCCACATAGTCAC